CTCTTGAACATTGTTACCCCCTCCATTGTTTTCCCCCTACCATCCCTTCCCTCTCTACCTTCCCCGAGGTTCTTTTTTTTTTTCATTGTGATTAAGTGATTACATAATTTCCGGAATTTCACAGTATTGTGGAATAATGATGCTCATTTAAAGTCACAAGTTTATGAAATTATTTTTGAAGGTTTAAATCACTTTTGAAACATTCAGCAAGAATTTTTAACTGTAGGCATAATAAAATATATTCTTTGAAAATTGATCAGAAATGTTGTTATAGCCATAAAATATCACCAAGTTCTACTTGTGGTTGAAGAAGCAAAAAGATCCTCCTCAAAGTAAAAATTTAAGAATTAATAGAAGTGGAGGTGTGACATATAATAGAGTACCAATCTTGAGCAAAAAAGCCAATCAAAAGTGTGAGACCCTGAGTTCAAGCCCCTATACCAGCACACACATACGCACAAAAGATTATGGGTGACCTTTTAATTGCCAGAAATGATTGGTGTTGCTTTCAACATATTGATTTAATATGACGTTGAATGAAACTATGCATTCTCATGATATAATTAGTACATATACATAAATATAAGCCAGAAACATTTTAGAATTGATGAAGGACCTTTCATATTCATGAAAGGTTATGTTCATACTACATTACACGAAGGATGACCACAAAATAATTCTAATGTATAAATTTGTGTTGTTCCGTATGTATATCTTTGTCAGTTGTACTATGTTGTATGTTGTATAAATATAAAATACTTTAAAGAAAAACAGTTCAAGATTGATTACTGTAGTTATCCTTTCCCCGATTTTTCCCTAAGGGCTTTTGATTTTCTATTTAGCTTGGATTTCTTAATCTGTATTTTGCCACGTAGCAAGTAGTGCCTGCTTGGTGTTGCAGCTCAGTGGTAGACAATGCATGCTAATGCCGCAGCTGCACTGCGGTTGCCTCTGTAAGCCTCTTCAGGTTTTTCTCTCAAGAATTCGATGAGGTCTAGGACAGCATAGAGTGAGTATGAAGAACTTTATAAAGAAGAGAAGTATCTTGCTCGAAGGCCACTGCTGCTCTGTCTATTGTGTGTCCTCTTTGCCATCCATTTTCTCTTTTCCCCAGGTGGCTCTCTCTAGGTGACTCTTGAGTTTAGGGCTTCATATACCCTGGGCTGTGTTCTGATCAGTTGCTCTTATTATAATTAGATGTTTGTGGAAGGTGACATTTTATTAGTTGGGTCCTACAACATTCAGATTGGTTGTTAATTCCTAATTAGGTCTCTTCTGCAAATCCTCTCCCAATAGGAAAGGGATAAAAACTAGAGTAGGGAGAGGCAGAGGCAAGATATTTTGAAGCAATATCTCTTTCCCATCTGGTTTCAGCTTGCTAGACCACAATGCTGTCCAGGAGCCTTGGGTAATAACTGATTTGCTCTCTCAACAGAATCACAGACAATGGGCAATTAATAAACAAAAGCAATGTGCTGGTTAGCTCTAGATGGTAATAAGTCTAACATCAAGGTGCTCCATCTGGCTAAAACTTTCCTGCTACATCATTCATGGCAGAAAACAAGAGGGCAACAGATGGCAAAAGAGGCTTAAATTTGTCTTTTTTTATTTTTGTCAGTACTGAGGTTTGACCTCAGTACTCACTAGGTTTGACCTCTTGTACTTACTAGGCAAGTATATTACCACTTGAGCCAGGGCCTTCAACTGCCTTCTCTGTAGTTTATTATTCAGAAAGGGTATCATGCTTTTTGCCCAGAGTGGTAACAGACCTTGATCCTCTTACCGCTGTCTATTGAGTTGTTGCACCACCAGACATAGCCTGTTTTTTTTTTTTTTTTGTCGGTCGTGGGGCTTGAACTCTGGGCTTGGGCGCTGTCCCTCAGCTCTTCAGCTCAAGGCGAGCGCTCTACCACTTGAGCTACAGCGCCACTTCCGGTTTTCTGGTGGTTTTATTGGAGATAGGAGTCTCACGGTCTTTCCTGCCTGGGCTGGCTTTGAACCGCGATCCTCAGATCTCAGCCTCCTGAGTAGCTAGGATTACAGGCGTGAGCCACCAGCGCCCGGCTTATAGCCTGTTTTTTTGAGATAGGGTCTTGCTTTTGCCAGGGCTAACCTCAAACTATAATTGTTTCATTTCTCTGTATAAAGTTATTTATCTCATATGGGTTGGGACTACGGGCATAGAAAACCAAATGCAGCCCCAAATTTGCCTTTTTAACATCCATTCTCAAAAGCATGAACAAACTCTTGAGATAAGCACTTTCTGGTAGAGCCCTCATGATAGATTTACCTCTTAAACATCCCATTTCAAATCCCAGTGCATTGAGGATTAAGTTCCCAGCACCCAAACTTGGTCCACTCTGCACAGAAGGTTCTGGCAGCAGCTCATCTCAGGGTGATTCAGGGTTGTGAGGCGTAGGTACAATAAGAGTCACTGATGTCTGGCAGATGGTCTAGACCTTCCAGATCCCAAGCAAGATGGCTGTGAAGTGACAGCAGGAAAAATGGCTCAGAGCAAACAACAAAGATAACAAAGGAAGTTGAGATGACTGACTTTTTTTTTGTTGGTTATGAGGCTTGAACTTGGGGCTTGGTCACTGTCTCTGAGCTCTTTTGTTTAAAGTTAGCATTCTACCACTTTGAGCACTACTTCCAGTTTTCTGGTGGTTAACTGGAGATGACAAAGACTTTTCATTCTGGGTTGGCTTCTAACCACAATCCTCAGATCTCAGCCTCTTGAGCTAAAATTGTAGAGATACCTAGCTTTTGTCTTGCTTTTAGTTAATTTATGGACCCAAGTACAGAGTTAGTGTTTCTCAACAAAAGCAATTGTTAAGCACCTGTTATAAAAACAAAGACTTAAAGCAGGTTAGCTACAGGGAAACAATGCTGAAACCAACTCCTTCTATTAGACAGGACCTAGGAAACAATCATGAGTTCTATATCTTCCCCCCTAGTACTTCCTAGGGCCATGCTTTTTTGTGTGTAATTAGTAGCCAGTTGGTGGCTAGAACTTCTTCCTAGAGGTAGCAAAACTAAACTCTGGGCCAGCTCTAACCAGTCTGAAGCATCTGCATCATATGTGTCATTCCCCTGACCTTTCCTCCACAAACTTAGGGCTTCATGCACACCTACTTAAAGCTATGGGATGGCCATGCACTGGTAGCTCTTGTCTATAATCTAGTTACTCAGGAAGCTGAGATCTGAGGATCACAGTTCAAAACCACTCAGTAAAATAAATCTGAGCGTGCTGGTGGCTCACACCTGTAATCCTAGCTACTCAGGAGGCTTAGATCTGAGGATTGTGGTTCAAAGCCAGCCTGGGCAGGAAAGTTTGTGAGACTCTTAACTCCAGTTAATCACCAGAAAACCAGAAGTGACACCATGGCTCAAAGTGATAGAGCACTAGCCTTAAGCAGAAGAGCTCAAGGGTAGCTTCCTGCCCCGAGTTCAAGCCCCACAACCACCACCAACAACAACAACAAAGATAAATCTGAGAGACTTTTATCTCCAAATAATTAGCAAAAGGCTGGAACTAGAGATGTTGCTCAAGAAGTAAGGAACCAGCCATGAATTAAAAAGCTGAGCAAGAGTGGGAGGCTCTGATTTCAAGTCTCGGTACTACCTTTCCCCCTCCAAAAAAAGTATACAGACATACATTCATTCAAGAAGTCTGGCAAGTCTTAATCCTTCATTTCCCTAAGATTAGCCCACAGTGACCTCCTTCAGAGGCAGGACTGATCAAGGAAAACAAGGTATGGGAAACAGCAGCCAGGAATTTGGAGACAAACACTGTATCAATGACTAGCTTGATTAAAAGCACATAAACACTATTTTCTTTGTTTTAAGCCTTATACTTTCTCATAAGCTACAATGTTAGTAACAAGGACACAAAGGCAGAAGAGTTGGTTTCTCTCTCTGACCCTTGCCTACTTTTGTCCCCCAAACTAGTGTGCTCTGCAAACAGACAAGAATATCTTTAAAAATAGACACATTTTGACAGGGATGAGGAGATGACTCACCTTGGCACAAAATACATTTAAAAATACTTATCTCAAGCATGGAAACCTGTCTTGAAGGGAGTGTGTGGCAGAATCCATCCTTTGTTTGAAGGAATGTCCAAATATCAATGACCCAAGTTTGGTGAGCAGGCCAACCTTGAAATCTCTGGGCTCTATTATATAATGTGCAACAACAAGAATGATAAATTGTACCAGGTGGTAGAACAAAGGGGAGCACTTTTCTTAAGGTGCATTTGAGCCAAACCCCAATCTACTCAGTGTGTGTGTGTGTGTGTGTGTGTGTGTGTGTGTGTGTGTGTGTGTGTGTGTGTGTGTGTGTGTGTGTGTGTACATATATCCACACCTCTACTCAGCTGAATTTAGAGCTTGGGTGCCATTTCTTAGCTTTTTTACTTGAGGCTAGCATCACACTTCTATTTCTGGCTTTTTGATGGTTAATTGGAGATGAGTCTCATAGATTTTCCTTCCTGGGTTGACTTAGAACCACAATTCTCAGCCTCCTCAGATCTCCACCTCCTGAGTAGCTAGGACTACAGGTATGAGGTTTCCTTGCCCAAGCTATTTTTAATCATAAATACCCACATTGTTAGAGCAATCATCACACTTATTATCACACATGCTTGCACTCATGTCTGGATTGTGTTTCTATGTTTCTATCATCCTTCACTTTGTTTTATTAATAAACTTTCTTTAATCTGTCTCTGTGTGTCCTTATATTCTCATTTGGGACAATATCAAAATCTTAGTACCCAAGGGCCAGGCAGATGTTTCCTTTCTTTTGGAGACTTTCTTCCTGGAGGAGCACCAATCACCAATCTGGTAGCACTCTCACACTCTCCAAACCTTAGAAAGCTGATTTAAAAAAAAAAAAAAACCACTGGGCTTGCCCATGAGCTACCATTTCCCATATCAGTGTACTTTAGCCTTTTCTACTAAACACCTTGCTTTGCTATACTGTGTTTATGTTCTTTGTTTCAGATCTCAAGAATCTTGGCTCTTCACCTATCCAACCACCCACTGGTCACAGTCACCCTCAGGTAACAATTCTCACAGGCCACACTCCTGGCCAAGGTGAGGTGATTTCAAAGAGGTTTCTTGGGGGAGGGAGGAAGGAGGAGGGAAAAGGGAATTGATTTAGGCATCCAACTCTGCGAAAGGAGGGAAGTAGCAGGATCAGGAAAAGAAGACATCTAAGATACTTTAGGCTCTTCTCAAGTAGTCTGAGTAGTCCACAAGTGAGTAAGAAACTGGGTGGAGAGAAGGCAAAGGATAAGGGCAAAAGGGAGAGAGAGTAAGATCTGAGTTGTCTCTCCAGAGGTTACCTTAGATCCTGGGAACAACTTGATTGAAAACAGCTTGTAACAATATTTACAAAATGTCCAATTTCCATACCAAGCCTGGCAAATCCTGAGATAATGATCAACTGGACATAGTTCAACTGAGACCAATTAGCTATACATACATCATGTCTCTTCTCCCATACAATTTAGTTCTTATCAGTACCTCCATGATGGATTTGGGGTTATTGAATCCTCTTATCTATACTTCCCAAGGTGGCCATGTTGATTACATCTTTTTTTCCTCCAATCATAACTACCCATCTCTTTAATTTGTAGATTGGGACGGGCAGCTAAGTCTAGTCTATTGGGACTTTGGGAGATGGTTTTTTTGCCCTAAAACTCCAGTAGCCCCAATAGTACTGTGCTTTGGGCCAGTCCTCCTGGATGAGCCTAGTGATAAAGATCCCTGGGAACTTCTCTAAGCATTGTGGTGATACTGGAGCCTCCCTGGCTGTAGAATGCTAGGCTTTCTCAGTGCCATATGATGTGTTTCTGGAACATCCAATTTTATGATAGAAGAAACAATTTTGAAGACCTGGGGCACACGAACTTTTTTTCTATTGTTGTCAGGGTGTCAATATTAGATATCTTATGAGCATACTAGTTACTTATGAACTCGAATTTCCCACATTTTGAAATGCAACAAAACTCAGCTCTTTACCCCCATGGTGCCCCATGTTGGTAGCTGCAGTCCATTGTGAGGGCTAGGTGGAGGAGGCCTTCTCAGGCTTATCACCAACTCAATACTCAGCTTTCAGTATGTGGCAGATAGTTTCAGAGCCTGGCTGCTTCCCTGGGGCCTCCTCAAGGCACCTGAAGAGAGTAGCTATTGTTCTTGAGCATACACATCATGTTCCATTCCATAGAGAGTGTAACAGGTGTTTAAAACCTGCTTTCACTGGCCAGGTGCTGGTGGCTCATGCCTGTAATCCTAACTACTCAGGAGGCTGAGATCTGAGGATCTAGGTTCAAAGCCATCCCGGGCAAGAAAGTCTGTGAAACTCTTATCTCCAATAAAAAAAGAAAAAGAAGAAAAAAAAAAACACCAGAAAAAAATGGAAGTGGTGCTGTAGCTCAAACAGTAGAGCTAGCCTTGATCTGAAGAGCTAAGGGACAGTGCTCAGGCCCAGAGTTCAAGCCCCATGACTGACAAACAAACAAACAAACAAAAACCCTGCTTTACTGAAGATCATTGAGTACTTATATGGATGCATAAATTAGCTAACATCAGGGGAAAAGGTTGTCATCCTAACCTTCATTTTGTATTTGTCCTTGTTCTAAGCCATGTATTCACAATGGAATCACTTGGAAATCCAGGAAAGACAGGACAATAGCATTTTTATGACAAGCGTCTGGAACTGCCCCTAAAGAATGAAAAATAGAGCCTATGAACAGTCCACCCTCTAAATGAGGACAATTTCCTATAATGATATAGCTGTATCCTGGAGAAGGAATAATCAACATGAAACCAAGACTGACCCCCTCAAGTGATGACTCTGATGATAACTTCTCTGGAATCCAGGAAAACCAGAACTGTGACCACACCTGTGGTCATATGGAAGGTCTATTTTGAGTTTTTGGAGGAACTTCCATACTGATTACCATAGAGGCTACATTAGTATACATTCCCTCCAACAGTGTATGAGGGATCTTTTTTTCACCTGAATCCTCACCAACACTAAATGGAAAATTTTAATAACTTCTGATTTATGTGATGATTTCAAGCCCAATGTAATAACTGTACCTGTCTTCCCTCTCTCTCTCCCTCTTCCATTTCCTTCCTCTCTATTTTTCTTTCCTTCCTTCCTTCCCTTCCTCCTTTCCTTCCCTCCCTCTTTTCTTCCCCCCTCCTTCCTTCCTTTCTTCTTTCCTTCACCCCTTCCTTCCTTTCTTCCTTCCTTCTTCCCTTCCCTCCTTACTGCTTTCCTCTTGCTAGTTAGGAATCTAAAACTCCCCTAGTCCATAGGCATGAAGTAACAGGGCAAAAGCAGGACAGATCCAGGGTAAATGGATTCCCTACCAAACTGCCTGCTTATATCAGCCACCAGAGTCACTGTAATCTGTGTTTGACATTTTGGGTCATTTGGGTAACAGGGACAATGTCCCAGAGCCTACCTCACATACCCCCCAGAGTAATAAAGTTCATGGAGGCTGAATTCTTCCTAGGTATGAGTGAGGAAGATAAATTTAAGACTAAAAGAGTTCCTGGGTACAGCTTAAATGACACTGAATGTTGCCTCCATTTCATGACTAATTCCTCCTCCGCCTTCTCACCAGGGAAGGATCTATCTTATCTCTCCAGAAGCCTGACTCTACTTCCCATACCTCTACAAGAGACTGGGAGGAAGCAAGTGCTAGGTTTAGAAAACTATCCCTGAGATTTCAGCACCATCCTCACCAACTGCTAGTCCCGATGCAAAATCTCCCTGGTGGTCAAGCAAATTACATAATATGAGCCCCCACTCCTCTGTTAAGACTTATCAAGAGGTATTTGTTGGTAAAAAAAAAAAAAAAAAAAAGCCTTAAAAATCATTTGAAAAACACTCATGGACTTAGAAAATAAAAAAGTAGAAGCCTTGAATTTAGGAAAAGTGGAAGCTAAAGTCCACTAGATTCAGGAGGAAATAGCAGATGAAGAGCAGAGTAGTAACAAAGTAAAAACAGAATAGTAAAGTAAAACAGAGTAGTAATAAAAAACAGCTTGGTACTGGCACAAGAATAGCCCTGAGGACCAATGGAATAGAATAGAAACCCTAGAAATGAACCCACAGACCTATAGACACCTAATATTTGATAAAGGAGCAAAAAACACAGCATGGAAGAAAGACCTCTTCAACAAATGGTGCTTGCAGAATTGGCTATATATATCCAGAAAATTGAAGCTAAATCCTTATATATCACCCTGCATCAGAATCAATTCCAAATGGACCAAAGACTTCAATGTAAGACCAGATTCCTTAAAAAAAATTACAGGAAAGGATAGGGGAAACACTAGGGTTCCTTGGCATGGGTGGAAACTTTCTAAGTGAAGATCCAGAATCTCAACAAATCAAAGAAACACTGGATAAATGGGATTGCCTCAAACTGGGGTTTCTGCATGCCAAAGGACATAGGTAGCAAGATAAATAGAAAGCCCACAGAATGGGAAAAGATTTTTACTAGCTATGCATCAGACAAGGGCTTCATATCTAAAAGGTACCTAGAGCTCAAAAATGAAATGCCCCTAAAACAAACCCTCAAAGAAACAACCTTGTTACCCAGCAATCCCACTCCTGAGCATTTATCCAACTAACCACAAATCAGGCCTCACTAAGGTACCAGCACAACCATGTCCATTGAAGCATTATTTACCATAGCCAAGATATGGAATCAGCCCAGATGTCCCTCAGTAGATAAATGAATCAAGAAAATGTAAATCTAAGCTTCCATTAGAAACAATAACATTGTCCCATTCATAAGGAAATGTAAAGACTTGGAAAAAATAAGTGAAGTAAACCAGACTCAAAGAAACATAGGTTGCATGGTTTCCATCATTTGTTGTGACTAGAATGTGTCTATAAATCTATAAGTAAACACACTGGATGGTAACAGACAAAACATTACACTTGGACATGATAAAAAGGACTCTAAACATTCACACAGTGAGTCCAAAGGAGGATTTTCTTAGGAGAGGACTACAAGGGCTCAATAACTATGTCCATATGATCATATAAAATGATGTTTGTTGAAATGAACTCCAAGAAATGGAAATTAGAAGTTGTTCTTTTTTTTACTGTGTGTGTGTGTGTGTGTGTGTTCCTTCCTGCTTTTCCTCCTTTGTCCCTGTTTTTGGTTTCTGTACCTTTTGTTTTGTATGTAAGTTTATCTGATTTGGAGAGAGTAAGAAGAAGCACAGAAATGATGGAACAAAGGGTGAACTAGTTCAGCAGTGATACTCACTAGACACTATGTTGGAAATGAACTATACAATTTATGAAAGTAGGGGGGAAAATAAAACAAGGGATGAGGTGACAGTTATCGGACCCATGTTACTGTAACCCCTGTGTACATCACCTTTACAATAACTTTTTTAATCCAAAAGCTTAAAAAAAAAAAAAAAACTAAGGCAGAAATGGATGTCTTTTGGAAGAGCTCTAGAAAACCCATCAAAAGGGAAGACTGAGAAAACCACACTGTAGAATGAGGACAATTCAACTGAATCCAATCGGGTTTCTTCGGATTAGAGTTACATAATTAGGTCCTCTAGAGAGGAGAGGGTATGAGAGACAGCAAGGGAAGAGGTAAATATTAGGAAGATGGGGTAGCGCTAGGACCCCTGCTCAAGCATGAATACCATGGAGTGAAAGGGGTCGTCTTTTGAAAACAGCTCTAGAACGTCCAAGGGTAGAGTCCTCCCACCTCCCTGCCACCCAACTCCCCTGTTCTACCCCTTCTATTTCCCCTGCTCAGCCCACCCACCGCGTTTACCCTCAGATCTCCACCTAGGCTCCTGTGCTCCCTCCCTCCTTTTTGCCCTCCGCTGTCTGTCTCCCGCCCATCCTCCATCCCATCTTTGGGTCTACTGCCCCTAGCCCAGCCTCCACCTCCTGCCTTCAGCCTCCGACCCTGACCTTTTTCTTCCCACACTTCGCACCCCTACCTCCATCCACTGCCCCTTGCTGTTCTATGAGGATGGCCACGTGTCTGTTCCCTTCCCCCCACAGCCCTCCTGTATCACTTCCCAGTCCCTGTGCACCTTCCGGACTCACGCCCACTCCACAGGATCTCGCGAGGTTTCACGTGAGAGACGGCAACCGAGCTGAGTCATCCTGCGGTTCCTAGGGCGACGGCAGCCATTGCTGAGTCGTGGAGGACTCACGAGGCTCGGTGGGGAAGAGACGGTAAATTCAAGCTGCTTCCGCCCCTGGCCCACAGGGGCACCCTCGACTTCCTCCCAGTCCTCACCTCGCCCTAGTTCCCAGTTTTCCACCTAAAGTGGGCTGTGGCAGTGTGGGTGAAGCGAAGCGCTCCCGCGGGCCCAGCTCTGGGAAGGTGGCCCCTGTCAGGGTGTTAGATGTCATCATTCAGAGAAGAGGCCATTGGATGGGACGGAGTGCTGTCCTCTGTGGGCTGGGTGTGGGTTGGAGTCAGGGTGTCTTTCCTGGTGCCCCGGCCTCTGCGCAGGCGCTGGGAGTGGGGCTTGGGGTCCCTGAGCAGGAGTGCGAGGAGCAGGGAGAAGGGTAATGTGTCACCAGTCAGAGGTGTCACACACGTGGGCCTCAGGCTCAGCGAAGAACAAACAGGTGCTGATTAAGAGGAGACTTAGGCTGGGTGAGGTGTAGCACGTGTGTAATGTAGGACTTGGGAAGATGGAGGGCTCAAGGCCAGCCTGGATATGCCATATGAGGTGGTCATCTTGTCTCTTTTGTGCTCATCATCTTGCTGGCAAAGGATGTGCTAGCTGTTATTTTGTGGTCACTGCATGCAGAATGGAACACACAGTAAAGTGGAGGACTCCCCTGCTCTTTGCCAGAGCAGTGACCTTGGCCCTGAGTTGGTCCCCTCGAAGGGTGGTAAAAGAGACAGTTCCTCATGCTTGTTCCCTGCATGCTTCTTCAGCATTCACTTCAGAGCAGATTCATCAAGAACACCATGTGTGACCCACCAAGACTTCTGGAGCTGGCTGAGCAGAGCCTGCTGAAGGATGAGGCCTTGGCCATCACTGCTCTGGAGGAGCTGCCCATGGAGCTCTTCCCACCTCTGTTTACAGCAGCTTATGCAGGGAGACACAGTGAGACCCTGAAGGCAATGGTGCAGGCCTGGCCCTTCTCCTGCCTCCCTTTGGGGGCTCTCATGAAGGAATGGCCGCCTCACCAGGAGACCTTCCAAGCTGTGCTCAGAGGGCTGGATGCACTCCTTGCTCAAGAGGTTCGCCCCAGGTGAGGAAGACCCAGCATCCTGGGAGTACTGGGACCCTGAACAAGACACTGCTGGGATGGGGGCATGGCGAACAGTGGCTTTGCTAGTAAGGAAGTCCATGCTGGTGGCTCAGAATGGGCCACCAGCTGTGCTCAGGTGACGAGGAACACATGCCCACTCCCTCCTAGTGGTATTAAGGGTATGAGAAGCAGAGGCTGGGGGTACATCTCAGTAGAGCCCTTATGTACCACTTGTGAGACCCTGTTCAAGCCCCAGAACCACAAAATGAGGCTCTTTTGCCTCATTCTGAGACATCTGCTCTTTGAGTTAATCACCTGTTTCTCCCATAGGCAGTGGAAACTTCAAGTGCTAGATTTACGCCAGAAAACACATCAGGACTTATACACTCTATTGGCTGGAACCAGAAATGATCTGTGCTCATTGTCAGAGGCTGCTCAGCCCATGAAAAAGAAGCAAAAAGTGGGTGGTTCCAAAATGGGTGCAAAACAGCCTTTGGCTTCTGTGCAGGTGCTCATAGACCTGAATTTCAATAAAGGCAGCCATGATGAATTTCTGTTCTCCCTCATTGAGAAGGTCAAGCAGAGGAAAGGTTTACTATATCTCTGCTGTAAAAAGCTGAGAATTTTTGTAGTGCCTATGCAAAATATTAAGATGATCTTGAAAATGGTACAACTGGACTCTGTCCAGGATTTGGAAGTGACCTTTACCTGGAAACTGTCAACTTTGGGGAAGTTCGCTTCTCATCTGGGCCAGATGGGTAATTTACGCAGACTCCTCCTGTCCCACATCCAAACATATCCCTGTACTTCCTCAGAGGAGGAGCACTGTGTCAACCAATTAAGCACTCAGTTCCTCAGTTTCCGTCACCTCCAGGAGCTGCATTTGGACTCTATCTCCTTTCTTCAAGGCCGCCTGCTCTACATGCTCAGGTGAGGGATGGCAAGTGCTCTATAGACCAGAGCAAGCTTTTGTTCATTATGCCAGACACAATGTGTCTCTGGATAGCAACAAATTGTCTTGTTCTAAAATACTCAAAAGAAGATTAGAGGTTGTCTTAGTTTGTTTTCTGCTGCCAAAAATGTAATAACATGGAATGGGTATAATCTTTATGTTATGGAGTTTACTTTGCCTCACAATTCTGGTCCAAGGCAAATGGGTTGCATTCTGTGATAGCCTTCTTGCTGGCAGAGCCTAAAGCAATGCAGTGTGACATGGCAAGAGACTGGGTATGCTCAAAGACACTTATAAAAATCCAACATTTAAAAAATTTGGCAGGAGGATCTTTTATTTGAAGCCAGCCTGGGCTATATAATGAGACTCTTACAAAAAGCTCCATCCTCCACAAAAGAAAGGAAGGAAGTGGAGAAGGGACGAAGGAAGAGAAACTAGAAAGAATGAGAGCTAGAAAGAGTATGTGTGTATATGCATGTGGCATGTGAGCATATTAATCTACCAAGCCAGTTTTTATGGTGGATTCACTCTTGAGACAGCCCATACATTAATGATGGTAGTAATCCATACCTGATAGTGTAGCCCTAATCATCTCTTAAAGTTCCTCCTTTAATACCTCATAATTCAATTTCAACATGAATTTTGGGAGGAATGGACCATATTCAGAGTTATAAATTAGAATATATGCTGTTGTGATGATGAATGCTTTCTAGAAAACCATTTAATGGGGGATTTGAGCTTGGGGAGATTGGCTCTGGGAATTATTCTTTAGGAAATGAGTCTAAGCTAAGATGTCCAAATAGTTATATGAGGAGGACATTGAAGGGAGAGCCCATCTAACATTCAATTTTAGATGATAAGCTCTGCACCCAATTAAGTTTTTCAGCTTGAGCTGCTTTAAACCTGCTTTACATTTCCTGTCTGTAAAGACCTGTTTGGAGCTCCAGGAGTATGTGGAAAATGCATGATTGTGGAGATGAGAGGGAAGAAGTAGGAGTAAGGAATTGTGCACACTGAAAGGTAGTTTGCTGATAACACAGGACCTTGTGGTTCTTGCAGGACACTACAGGCTGGCAGCCCCCTTTGGATGTTGCTTATCTTCCTTAAGTTTATGAATGTTTCCCAGTATTGATTTGGGCCACAGGGTGGCTGGAAGGAAGCCTGAATTAAAAGTATTTTCTCTTTGTTATCTTTTATAAAAAATTGATTTTCCTTCATTAGTTAATTTGAAAGAATTTTCATTGGTTCCTCTGAAACCAAAATACATGAATCCCCTTCTTTATTTGAGACATGGGTTCAGAGTCTTCTGAGTATGTCCTGTTGTCTTGTTTAGTGCTCACAGCACCTAAGAGGTGTATGTTTTACATTGCTAGCAGATAAGCAAAGAGTGAGAGTTCATTGGCTTGACAGTCACACAGCAATGGTAAATGAAGGAAGGATCTTACTTAGTCTTGTAATATGGCATTCCTGGAGGCTGACTTTCAGGAAGACTTTGGATTTTTCCATGTTCTCTCCTTTGGGACCTCTCCAACCCCTGCGACTTCCTACTACCAATCCCCATCACTAATTGTTCTGTCTCTCCTCTCCTCAGGTGTTTGAAGAGCTCCTTGAAGATTCTCTCACTCACCAATTGCTTGCTTCTAGAATCAGACTTGATAAATTTGTCCCAGTGCCCCAGTGTCAGTCACCTAAAGGAACTGCGTCTAAGCAAGGTCAAGCTGAGACCCTCTGAGCCTTGCTAGAGAGTCTCTCCCATCATCCAGGACCCCCATTTTAATGGCATCCTGCTTACTCTGAGCCACTGCTTCCAGCTCAAAAGCTTCAGCAGCTATGGGAATCCCATCTCCATAGCTGTGCTGGGGAACCTCCTGCACTACACAATTGGGCTGATCAAGCTAAGCCAAATGCTGTATCTGCCCCAGTGGAAAGTTATGAGGATATGCTTACAGAACTAGATTTTCAGAGGGTAATTTATTATAGGGGAGGGTAATTTATTATGTGGGAGTTGTCTCTGCATGGATGGTTGTAAAGAAATGGCCATAAATTAAAGGAACTTTAAACCACTTGATGTACTGTGATATACGAACCTGTTTAGACCTTGTGGCATTTTGGGAACTGTAGGTTTAGTAAAATAATTTACCTAGACAGAATAGGAGAAAAACAATATATTGTTAAAGAAAAACAATAGGCAGCAAGGCAAAGAGGCATAGTACTGGTGTGTTGCTGCTGCTGCTGCTGCGCCAAAAAGGATTGGAGACAAGCTTTTATGGGGTAACTGGATTTTTTTCTGATTGGCTGTTCCATGTGCTTTACTTATTGGTTGTCTTTTTTTTTCCCTTGGAGCATGATTTGAATTAGGTATGAACAGAAATGTCTCACAAACTTTTACTGGCTTTTACTTCTGTATTTCATCTGTCCCATCTCACCCAGTCCTGGATATTTTCCTGTATGAATGTCTCCTTAAAGAACTGCCCTCCACATTCCTCCCCTGACAGAACAATGATGTCAATCGTGGTTTTAGGGAGTGTATTGCTGTAACTGTTTGAGCTGGGTAGATTTGTAGAGATATCCCTGCTTATTTATTGGTATCCTGGCAGAGGATCGTGGAGCAGTTCCTGGAGACATTGTGGGGTCTAATTGAATATCACAGGACTGAGAAGCACTGGAGGGTGAGATAGTAGAGGATGGAACCCACACTGTAGCATTGTCTGAAATTTTACGACCAGGAGGCAAGAAGAAACAAATCTGGTTCAAAGGTTAATAAAAAGGGGCTGGGAAGGTGGCTCAGTGGTAGAGTGCTTGACTTGCATGCATGAGGCCCTAGGTTTGATTCCTCAGTACCACATAAGCAGAAAAAAACAAGTGGTCCTGTGGCTCAAGTGATAGAGTGCTAGCTTTGAGCTGAAGAGCTGAGGGACAGCACCCAGGCCCAGAGTTCAGCCCCACGACCGACAAAATTTTAAAAAAAATAATAAGGCAAGAGTAAAATAGACAAGAGATCCCAAGAAGCCAAGATAACCATGACCAAGCATTTTTCCCTAAGAGCCATCCTTGGAAGGTTCATTTTCAAAGTTGAAAATCTTGATGGGTTAGTTTATGATTGGTAGTTTGAACTTGTTCTGATCTATTAATTCAGAAGCAGCGGTTTTCCCCAAGCATAACATAGGGTTCCCCTTGAGTGGCAATGAATGAATCCAAAGCCCATCTGTTTTTTAGGACTACCATTTCTAAAGAATTTATTTGGGGGGGGGGGCGGGGCCGGGAAGGTGGCTCAGTGGTAGAGCGCTTGCCTTGCATGCCTGAGGTCCTGGGTTCCATTCCTCAGCACCACATAAGCCAAAAGAAAAAAGCCGGAAGTGGCACCATAGCTCAAGTGGTAGAGCGCTAGCCTTGAGTTGAAGAGCTGAGGGACAGCACCCAGGCCCAGAGTTCAGGCCCCACGACTGGACCCCCCCCCCAAAAAAAATTTATTTATTTTGAAGGTCAAACCAGGTTATCTAAAGCATTGGCGATTTCAAGTGACATGTTTTTATAAATTAGGGAGGATGAAATACTTTTTTCCAATATCTGTCCCTGTACCTAATGTAATCTTGAGTCCTGTTAGCAGTACTATGAATTGCATGAATCTCCTGATTCTAAGGCTGTTAGTAACCATACATAAGGAGGTATAGCTGGAATATAATAGAAAAAACAGGTGATAGAAAAGCAATGGTGGAAGTTTCTGTCCAGTTGGAAGGTAGACAGACACGGAATTTAGCATCAGGTAACCATATGTATGGACTATTTTAATTTTTTTTTTGTCGGTCATGGGGGCTGAACTCTGGGCCTGGGCGCTGTCCCTCAGCTCTTCAGCTCAAGGCTAGCATCCTACCACTTGAGCCACAGTGCCATTTCCAGCTTTTTTCTGCCTATGTGGTGCTGAGGAATTGAACCCAGGGCCTCATGCATGTGAGGCAAGCACTCTACCATTGAGCTAACTTCCCAGCCCTTACAGTTTTTTTTTATTTATGTTTTTTTTGTGCTAGTATTGGGGGCTTGAACCTAGGGCCTTGAGCTCTCACTTAGCTTTTATGCTCAAGGCTGGCTCTACTAGTTGAATCACACCTCCATTCTTGGCTTTTTTCTGTTAATTGGAGGTAAGAATCTTAACAGGACTTTGCTCAAGTCCAGATCTTTGCTTCCTGAGTCACTAGTGATGTGAGCCATCAGCATCTGGCATGAGCCATTTCTTTACAACTAAAAGCCTCTTGGCTCTAGTTACCTTTGGAAGGGGTGACACAGATGACTTCATTTGGAATCTGCAAACATCCCCTCTTGTCTGAATGATTTTCTTCCAACCAACTCTAAATAGTTCCTCAGCAGCAGGATGGGCTTTGTCCAAGTAGGTCTTTCTTCCTTGGTGGAATGAGGTGGTCTATGTTTGAGGGGAATGACAGATCAGGGTATACTTCTGGTATAGAGGAACACCCCAAGTCTGGGTGGGCATCCAAAATTAATCCAAACAGAAATTATTTTTTCTTCAGGATACAGATGATGGTTTCTGGGGTATTGATAAAAGGATTTGAAAGTAAAGTGTGAGGAGAGAGGTAGGAGCTCTGTTCCCTGTACAATGGGTATAGACCCCTTTTCCTCTGATATTTTGAGTTTTACCAGAGGTTGCCTTGGCCAAAGACTAGCAAATTTTAGAAGTAATCATTCCACCAGTCTGTTCTTCAACCCTAAGGATGACAGATTTCAGATACCCAAGAGGAAGAGACCTTTGAGTCTCACCAGAGTTCACGCCCTGACTTGTGACCCAAAGTTGTTGCCAAGTGCAAGTGCTACTTTAATAGAGGAACTTTCCTCCAGTTAACTTAAGAATGTTGTTCCTGATTAATAGAAGGCAGAACATCCATGATGTTTACACACTGTGGGCTGCATGAAGTTCATCCCAAGATCTCATGTCAGCATTTTATCATTTTTGTTATTTAGTTTCTCTGGGGTCTCTGCTACTTCCTTGCAGTAGATGTGGCTGGTCACTGGGTCGCTGTGTCATTTGCATCTTCAGTGCCTGAAAGTTGTTAAATGTTCTATAATAACCATTAGTGGAGTAAAGGATTCTTCACAGGGATCCAAAGTTGTCTCTAAGGCAAGGTGAAATACTACTGAAAATCCCAATATGAAAAGGAATTCCTCCAAATATTCCCATATTCGCCACCATTTTGTTGGGATTTTTCCCCCCAGTACTGGGGATTGAACTCAGAACTCATGCTTGCTAGGCAGGTACTCTACCATTGAACCATACTTCCAATAGGGATTGGAATAACAGCCTTTGGCTGTTATTATAGGGCTTCATTGCTCATAGTCCTACCCAGTACTATTAATTGATACCAGGTAGAACTATATTTTTTGTGTGTCCCTAATGTGTTCTCTGTCTGGGTGGCTTTGAGTCTAGAGCTTTTTATAGCCTAGACTGTGTTCTCATTGGTTGCTCTTAATTAGTTGTTTGGAAAGGTGATATTGTGAGACTAAGCCATCTTTTCTGTCAAACAAAAGTGCCTCCATCTTGTAGCTGTTAGAAAAAAAGAGGAAAAAGGAACAGGTTGGACTCTCCATCTTGACAAGCGAGGACTGTTTATTGAGGCCCAGCAGCAAGGCCCAGCAGCCTTTCAGCAGAAATAGATTGTGCAGGAGGTTGGGTTTGAGTTAGTTTTTTATGGAGTCTGAGCAAGGAGACAAGAGATTATCAAAAAGGCTATTAGGGTTGGTAAGGTGGAGACTTTTGGTTAGGCCCACAGTGGAAAGTTTATGGCCAGGCTTAGGTCAGATTGCCCTGCCTGCACATCAAGCATGTTAGTGCATACAGACACTAGTGCATACCTGGGGTTTTGTCTGATATCTGTGTGCACCTAGGATAACAGGGTGGGAAGGTCAATCCTTCAGTAACCAGTCACCATGCTTACTAATATTCCCTAGAACTGATATTTCCTGGAATTACTTCTTTAACTTCCAGGTACGTTGTTTGTGACCAGCCAGTCCTACTAGGGGCATGAATCTTTGTCAATGGAGTTAAAGAATAAACTGCCAGGTGTGTTGCCTGTGACCAGCCAGCCATGTCATAGATTTATGAATCAATAGGGTTATAGTCATCCTTGAATGGGAACTTTTCCATTGACTTTACCAACCTCCTCCAGCTGTAACCATCAGCTGCTCCCCATTTTTAGCCCCATCCCCAGTCAGCTGTCAGGAGAAAAATGTAAGCCTTTGCTTCCAATACCTCCACATATAGTCGGGCCTTTCACTGACTGTTAAGTGCTTTCTAACTTTGTATTGCCTCATCACCTTGGTAACCACTTGTAAAGAGAATGGGAGCCTGACTATTTGACGTGAAGGACTGACAGCTTGGGTTGGAGTAAAAAGCAAACAGACCGCCTGGCCAAGTGTGCCTGCCTACTGCTGGGAGAAGAGTGAGCTATGTACCTTCTATACAGAAGTAAATTGCTTTGATGAGATCTTTCTCTTTTGTATGCCTGTTTTTTTCTGACAAAAGAGGGTCATGTGTTTCCACCAATACTTTATTTACTATGTTCCATAACATTCTGTTTGGTTGTTAATTCCTAAACAAGTCCCATAGGAAAATTCTCTCCCCAGGATCATGAGAAGGTTATTGAAACTACAGTTATTGAAACTAGAATCTCTGGAGGGGCAGAGGCAATATATTTTTGTAACAATGTCTCTTTTGGTTCTGGTTTCAGCTTGCTAAACCAAGATGCTTTTCAGGGCTCCTGGGGCCTAACTAATTTACCTTTTTAAAATTATAAGCAATATTAGTCCTTGTTCTTGTGAACAAACCTCCCATTTGGTGCTGTGCACTCACATATATGCTGTGTCATTGCTAAATGTCAACAAGGTTCTGTCTTGCCACACACAGCAGCTGCATCCTTCTCCATCCTCTACCCATAGCAATTTTTTCCTCTTTTGTTCTGTCATCCCTTTCAGCCACCTCCTAAACCAAATTAGAAAGAAATGTGCCCAATCAGCTTGTGGAATATACGTGGCCATTTATGAAGAGAAAGTGCAGATATCTGTATAGCCAATAGTGTACCTGAAAAATTGGGTTAGGAAAATGTTATTTTTCCTGAGATTATACCCTATTCTTTCTCACTTGACATAGATCCAAATTACCAGAAACAACCCCTATGGGAAAGCAACACTTGTGGGATTTAAGAAAAGCCTATCAAAAGAGCATCTTTCCCAGGGGAAAAGAGCAAAGGTAAGACATTATATCAATCCAGCTTCTAATTCCTCAGCTGAAAAATAGAGGTGAAAATGAACACTTCCTGTTTATGTAAAACATGCATTACAGACATAGATGGACAAACCCAGGAAGCAGTTATTATTAGCTACCTGCTGTTATAATAAAATACCACAGGCTGGTTACTTATAGGTAATAGAAATTAACTAATGGTAGCTCTGAAGGCTGGAAATCTAAAAGCAAGGAATTAGCAGATCCAGTCTTATGAGGGCTGATTCTGCTTCCAAGATGGCATCTTATTGCTGCATCTTTTGGATAATTTAAACACTGGTTCCTCATGGAGTTGAAAGGCAGAAGAGATGCAAGAGACCATGCCATTTCTTTCAACCTCATTTATAAAGACATCAATCCTATTCCCAAGAGTCAAGGCCTTATGACTTAAATCATTTCCCCAGAGATCTCACTTCTTAATACTATGACATGGAGCATGAGGTTCCAACACCAATTTTGGAAATACACAAACATTCAAGCCATAGTACTACATTTTGCTTGTAAAACATGATGGCCTACATTGGGTCTTTATTTAGCCTAGAGACTTCATGGGAGAGAAATGAATCTCGCAATATTCTATTTTTTTTGGGGGGGGGAGGTCGGTCATAGGGCTTAAACTCTGGGCCTGGGCGCTGTCCCTCAGCTCTTCAGCTCAAGACGAGCGCTCTACCACTTGAGCTACAGTGCCACTTCCAGTTTTCTAGTGGTTTATTGGAGATAGGAGTCTCACGGTCTTTCCTGTCAGGGCTGGCCTTGAACTGCGATCCTTAGATCTCAGCTCCTGAGTAGCTAGGATTACAAGTGTGAGCCACCAGCGCCCGGCTTTGCAATATTCTTTAATCAGAATGTAGATCTTGGCATCAAAAGTTTCAGAATAACCAGTGCAATGATGTTTTGTAAAGTTGAATTTGACTGGAGACCTTGTCAGCAAATAGAGTAAGAAAGTGGTGACTGTGTCCAGTGGAACATAAGTATGAAGGCCCTGGGGGTAGGGGATCACTGGATTATTAGGAAACAAGATAGGGGAGTACTGCACACACACACACACACACACACACACACACACACACACACACACACACACACACTAGGGGTAAAAGATGGAAATGTGGTCCCCTCCCAGAGAAGGCAGCGAGCAGCAGCTGTCCCTTGGTAGGTGTGATTCTTTAGATAAAGTCTGAAGGAAGTCTCTTAAATGAAGTCTTGAGGAAGTCTCCTGAAACAAGGGGTTGGACGAAAATGAAAATTATTACTGAAAAGATTGGATGCCCATGGCTTGGAGGTGAACTAACAGATGAGGTAGAGAGGTGTGTGGAGAGCAGCTGGCTCAGTGTTACTCACACAGATCTTAAGGGATGCAAGACAGCCTTACCTTGGTAGGCCCAAGCGGGAGGGCGGGGGGGGGGGGGGGGGGAGGGGGGGAAACAGGTGTACCTTGAAGTCAGTGTTGGTATAGAAGGGGCAGGAGCCCTTTTTATTCTTGACAGATGAATCCACTGTGGCTGCCCCTTGAGCTTGACTGCCATGGGGGCGGTCAGCAGAACCTGGTGAGGGCCTGTCCACTTAGGATTTAAACCAGGTGGATTAAAGGTCTTGAGAATCACTTGGTCATGGGGCAAAATTCGGGGAGTGGGAAAGGGGCCTTGATGAGGCTGTCGGAGACATTGATCAGCATGTTGGCATAAAATGTGCCTAAGAAAAGTTAGGACAGGAGGGTAGTCTATTAGTGGAGTCTTGGTATCTGTAGGAAGGTTACCTAGGAGAAAAGGTCTTCCATACATTAATTCCAAGGGGCTGAGAAAAGTAGGGCTGTGGGGAGAGGCACATAAGCGGGGAGCACCAGGTACTGGTAACAGTTCTGGCCAGGATTGCTGGAGCTCTAGAGAAAGTTTAGTAAGTTGTGTTTTGAGGAGCACATTAGCTCTTTCAACCTTTTTGGAAGACTGAGGTCTATAAAGAATGTGAAATTCCACACTAGATGTTTTAAAAGGCTACCACCTGTTGGTCACTTTGGAGATGAAAGCAGGTCCATTGTTGGATTAAAGTGACCTGGGTAAGGCAAACCTAGGAATAATTTCTTTTATAAGGACAGAGGCAACAGTGTCAGCAGTCTCTGACATTGTGGGATAGACCTTGATCCATCCTGAAAAGGTATTAACCATAGTTAGAAAGTATTTCAGCCACTTACATTAGGGCATGTGAATGAAGTCTATCTGCCAGTCTTCCCCTGGGGTATGTCCCCGTGCTTGGTGTGTGGGGAATGCATCCAGTCGGAGACTACCCTGTAAGGAGGTAAGGGAACAAGTGGAGGAGGCTTGGGTAATAGCCTTTAGTTGGGCAGTTAGGAGTAGGGCAATGGAGTAAAGGCTTGAGAAGAAGGTGGGAGAGAGGCTTGCATCCAATGTGAACCTGTTAAACCTGGGAAAGAAAGCTGTTAGCTTGTGTCTCAGGAAGAATAACTCGTCCTTCTAGGGGCTACCATTCCTGTGCTTCCTGGAAAGCTCCCTAGTGGGTAAGTTCCTTGAGCTCCTGTGGAGTATAAGAGGGTTGAATTGAAGGCAATATCAGAAGTAAGGGAGCTGGAAGTTGTCCCTGAAGTTGTCTCTGGGCTGCTAGCTTTGCCTCCCCATCTGCTTTTGAATTGCTGACTGTGATGGCATCCAGACCCATCTGGTGTCCCCGGCAGTGAATGATGGCTACCTGTTGGAGAAGGGAAGCTGCTTCTAGGAGCTTAAGAATAAGTGAGGTGTTAGTAATGGGGGTCCCGTTAGTGGTCAGGAAGCCACGCTCCTTCCAGATTGCTGCATGTGAATATCTATATAAATATTCATCTTCCAATCCTTGGCTAGAATTAAGGCCCTAGTTAAAGCTACAAGTTCTGCCTTTTGTGAGGTAGTGCCAGGGGGCAGAGGGCTGATTTCAATAATGGTACAATTGTTAATGATGGCATAGCCTGCAACTCTGCTGCCTGAGGAGGTAGATGTAGAACTTCCACCGATGTACAAGGTGTCTTCTGGGTCTGGAAGAGAGGTTTCCAAGATACGGGGTGTGGTCCTCCAAGGTATCTGTACAGGAGTGAGAAAGAGGGTTAGAACTGGATGGAAGCAAGGTGGCTGGATTGAGGGAAGCAGCTTTCCAGTGAGAAGTCGGGGTTTTGAATAGAAGTAACATGAAACATCTGTAGGTGGAAAGGGGAAAGGGAAGATAGGGCTTTATGAGATAAAAGGTCCTTTAGTCTGTGGGGCGAGTGAACGGTAGAGGGCTGGCCAAAAGTGAGTTATGTGCTCTCCTGTGCTAAGGTGGCTGTTGCTGCCAAAGCCTGAAGGCAGGCTGGCCAGCCTTTTACCGTTGGGTCTAGTTGTTTTGAGAGCTAGGCCACAGGTCTAAAAGAGGGGCCTGACATTTGTCCAAGAACCCCAAGGCCAATTTCCCACTTCTCAGTGACATAGAGTAAAAAGGTTTCCTTAAGGTTGGGTAGAGCCAGTGCTGGAGCCTGAAGAAGTGCTTGCTTCAGTACTTTAAATGGGGAGTCAATGGGCTTTGTGGGGTCCAGCAGCTCTGGTAGGGACCCCTTGATGGTCTCATAAAGAGGTCTGGCGAAGGTAGCAAAACCAGGTATCCAAATATGAAGGAAGCCCGCAAGTCCCAGGAAAGACAGAATGTCTGTGGGCCAGAGAGACTCAATTGTCGGCTTTTCTATCAGGAGTAATTCTTTTCTTTGTAGGAATTATGGACAGACCCAGGTATGTTACCTCTGGCTTTGTTATCTGGGCTTTGGAAGGAGAGACTCTATATCCCTTGGCCAATACTGAATAATGACACTAGGAGGTTCCTGAAGAGAGAGGAGATCCTTTGCTAAAGCCTGTCCAAAAAAAATGGGGACTATCTCGGAACTCTTGAGGGAGGACTGTCCAGGTCAGCTGTTGTGCCCTGGAAGTATCCAGGTCCACCAAGGTAAAAGCAAAGAAGTCTTGGCAGTCAGGATTCAGGGGGATTGTAACAATGTATCCTTGAGGTCCAGCACCAAGAAGTGGGTGGTACCAGGAGATATCTGTGAAAGGAGAGTATATGGCTTGGGCACAACAGGATGAATAGGAAAGACGGCAACATTAATAATACACAGGGCCTGGACTAGGCTATAGGTTCCATCAGGCTTAACTACTGGCAGAATGGGAGTGTTAACAGGGGAGTTCATAGGTCTGAGGAGTCCTTGTTTAAGAAGAAAAAGGGTGATGGGTTTTGAACCTTTCCTATGTCAAAGGGAAATGGAGTATTGGGAGGTGCTAGGGAAATAGGTAGGGTCTTTAAGTTTAATGAGGACAGGAGTATGGTATCTAGCTATAGTAGGAGTGGAAGTATCCTAGATAAGGGGGTTGACAAGATCTGGAGGGAAAGAGAAATGATCTAGTTGAGAGGTTACAGGTGGAGATTCATCTAGGGATAAAAGTAGGACAGGTGTAGGCTGTTTGATGATATGGAATGAGAGGGAGACTAGAATTTAGAGAGCAAGTCCCTCCCTAAGAGGGGAGTAGGACAGTGGCGTAAGATTGGGAAGGAGTATGAAAAGAGAAAGTCTTCTATTTTTCATGGTGCTGGTTCAGTAGTTGGGGGACAGGTAGGTAGGCATCCACACCCACGACCAAGATCTGGGAGGGAAAAGTCTTGCCTGTAGATTGAGATACACTGAATAAGTTGCTCCTGTATCCAAGAGAAA